GCCTCTCTGGGATGTATTCCCAGGAGTGGCATTGCTGGGTCAAATGGGAGCTCACGGTCATGGTCCTCCCGTTGTTCATCGATTTGCTTGAGTGGGCCCAGTAATGTCTCCATTGTGACACTTGTTACTGTGTTTGGCATATCGAATACGTCACGGGGAGCTTGCCAGGCTTTGCCATGTGGGCGAGATACTCTCGGTAGCTTGCCAGGCTCAATTTCTATTTTTTTGAGAATCATCCATACTGTTTTCCAAAAGGGCTGAACCAGTTGGCATTCCCACCAGCAGTGAAGGAGGGTCCCTTTCTCGCCACATCCACACCAACACCGGTTGCTTTTGTTCTTTTGGATGTGGGCCAGTCTCTGTGGCGTGAGATGATATCTCATTGTTGTTTTGATCTGCATCTCCCTGATGATTAATGATGTAGAGCATTTTCTCATGTGCCGTTCTGTTCATTTCATGACCCATTCTTTGATGGGGCTGGATGTTTTCTCTTGTGGAGGTCAACCAATGCTTTGTATATCCTTGATATCAACCCCTTATCAGATGGGTATTGGATGAATATCCTTTCCCATTCTGTAGATTGCCTTTGGATTTTGGTCACTGTATTTTTTGTGGTGCAGAAGCTTCTTAGTATAATATACTCCCATTTTTTTTATCTCTGTTTCCACTTGGTTCATCAGTGGAGTGTCATTTTTGAAGATACAGTTGGCCTCAATATTGTGGAGGGTTTTGCTGACCTTGTCTTCAATGTACCTTATGTATTCTGGTCTGATGTTGAGGTCTTCAATCCATTTTGATCTGACTTTTGCACATGGTGTTAAGTTGAGTTCCTAGCCCATTATTTTGCTTGTGGTTGCCCAGTTATGCCAGCACCATTTGTTAAAGGGGCCTGGCACACAGTATCACTTCCCAATCCCATGAAGCTCCCAACAGGTGAGCTGTTAATAGAGACACTAAGGACATATATTCTCTACATCTAAAACACCCTAACAGTCTTATTCTATACTTGGCTGGCACATTTTTTATAGCAGATATTTGTTATCTATTCTATACTTTCTTGGGTGCATTTTTGCAAACGCTTTGTATTTTAATACCTAAGTCTTTTTATCTAGTAGTGTATCCCCATTCTCGGGTTTTTTTTTCCTTAGGGAGATGAATTTTTACATGAAAGATTCAACAGACTCTGTGATCTTTGGCACACAGTTATGTATGTCAAAGCACCGCAACAAAAATATGCAATCCTCCCTGCAAGCATTGCAACTAAAATCTGTGAGTACTAGGGCTGGGATGGGGAGGTTCTGGGAGCACCAGAGTAACTTCAGGTGAGAACTAAACAAATAGTGGCAGGAGTACCGCAACCAAAGCCATAGCTAACCATGCATGACCCCAGTCATTACACTAACAAGGGAAGGGTATGTGTATAAGATGAATCTATAAAATACATTATAGGCCAAAAAGACAACACCAGTGGTTAAGGGGCCTGCCTTGTATGTGCTCTACTTCAGTTCAAATCTAAGCGCTCTTTGGGTAAGACCAGACCCCCATTGGGTATGGCCCTCAGCTCCCCTTTCCCCCTATAATAATAAAGTGAAAATAAATAAATTTTATATAAATATATAAAACAGAAGGAATGAAATTAAGTTTGGGTAATTTCAAAGCATCCAGGCAGCACTGAACAGGCAAGGATCAGACAGGACAGATCATCTCCCCCAGTTTTGACATGGAACTTAAACTAAGTGTCTTGTCCTGGATAAATGAGAGACTGGTCCAGAACTTGGCATCAAAGGACAGAACAAGTTAGTCAAGTACAGGATGACTGCCTTTGATGGAGGATAACCAACGCTAGCCAAAGACAATTAGGAACAAAGAACTCCTATACAAGGACACTAGTATTATTTGTTTGTTTTCTGGCCACACCTGAGAGTCCTCAGGGCTTACTCCTGACTCTGCACTCAGGGATCATTCCTAGAGGGTTCAGGGGACCAGATGTCATGTCAGGGATCAAACCATTTTGGTGGCATGCAAGACTTGGCTAAGTACTATCACTCTGGTGCCAAGGACTATAGTTTTCTCTTACTCAAAAGCATGAAGATTAGTACAAATTCCTCATTTGGGACTCCAGTTAGGTTTGTACATAAAATGAGTGGTGCCTCAGGAGACCAGCCTGGAAAGAATTCATTGTTCATTTATTCTGAAGCCCACCTTTTAAACTCCTGGTCTTTTTCTCTTTTTTTAAAAGAAAAACAGAGGCTAGAGTGATAGCACAGTGGGTTTGCCTTGCACACAGTCGACCTGGGTTCAGTTCCCAGCATCCCATATGGTCCCCCGAGCACCATCAGGAGTGATTTCTGAGTGCAGAGCCAGGAGTAACCCCTTTGCTTCACCGGGTGTGACCCAAAAAAGGCAAAATAAATAAATAAATAACAGAACAAGGGGCTGGAGCGATAGTACATCAGGTAGGGTGTTTGCCTTGCATGTGGCTGACCCATGTTCGATCCTCAGCATCCCATATGGTGCCCCAAGCACTGCCAGGAGTAATTCCTGAGTGCAGTGCCAGGAGTAACCCCTGAGAACCAGTGAATGTGACCTCAAAAAGCAAAAAAAAAAAGAGGAAAAAAAGGAAAAACAAAACCCCTTTTTGTACCCACGAAGACAAGATGGTTGCTGTGAGGGTGAGTTCACTATCTTCCAACCTGCCAACAAAATTCTTTCTCATCTGTCACTGTGTCTCTCATCTCTCACCATGTCAGCCCTCCAGCCAGAGTGGAACTCACACTTCATGGTCATAATACCAAGAAACAAGAGAACAAATGATTCTCTCCATGTGCTCTTTGGCAGATCCAAAAGTGACTGTTAGAGCTTGCTGCAGATATGCCTGATTTTATGCAACAGACATTTAAAAAACTATATAAACTAAAGGCCCATGGGATGATATAGTGAGTTGAGGTGCTTAACCTGGCATTGCTCTCTTATATTTGATGTCTAGCACCAATAGGAGTGATCCCTGAGCAGAATCAGGAGTCAGTCCCACTGTGTGTCATCATTGAGCTTTGATCTCCTATGTGCTCTGTTATGCAGGTAGGTGGTAGATAGGAAAGGGGCCCCATGGCAATGGAATTCCTTGGGAATCAATAAAACCAATAGCTCCAAGGCAGCAAAAAGCCCACCCTATGAGCCTGATAAGACTATCACCTCACACCAACAGACTGAGAGAAGCCTGGAAACCCCTCCTAGAGAGAAGCCCTAGCAGAAACAAAGGTCAAGGAAAGGCATTCCAAAGACCATCAACAACTCTCAACTCGACCCCCTTGGCGAACACCCTACCGTTGGACTCTTTTCCAGCTAGAAAGCCCCACCTGGGGCAGCTTGGGAAAAAACCCTATAAAAAACTTGAACAAAGGAAGGACGTATACTCTTCTCCAGCCCATGTGCTGCTAGTACCCATGTGGCCAAGCACATATGGTGCCCAAGCACATGTGTTGCCTGTGTCTCCCCTCTTGAGATGTATACTGGGGCTCTCTCTGCCTTTGGAGAAGCTTTCTCTCTTGAGTGCATTTCTCTCTCTCTCTCTCTCTCTCTCTCTCTTTCTCTTCATCCTCCCTGTTCCTCAGAAAGCCTCCAAATAAAATCTGTTACTTTATTGCTCTTCTACTCCTGACATTCTTTTCTGCGAGAAAGATAAGGACCCAGAAGCCTGGGTAAGGCCTAGGACTAGTTTTCCTTTCCTGCAAAGAGCAATTCCTCAATCCAGCCTGGGTCCATGGCTTCCTGAGAAATCAGGTGGTGAGGGTTAACTCCTGTGCAGAGAAGGACAAGTGGAAGTCAGGTGTGGCTTTACCGCTACACCAGATAGCTACCTAGTGGGATTGGTGAGATTTGTGATTTGAGCAGTGAAGGGGCTCATTGCAGACTTCATCAGCCTTCCCAGCCCAGGTGGTAGAGGTGGACCTCTGTGCAGTTCTCCTCTCCTCTTCACACAAGTCACCTGGGGGTGGGGCCACTGATTTCACTCTGTAAAATGGAATTTAGTACTTGCATTTTGTGCACAAGGAGACTGATTCATGAGAGACATTAAGTACCTCTAGCTTGGTAAGGATTGGAATCTGAATGCCAGAAGATTTGTTGTAGGTGATTTGGGTGGTTCTCCAAATTAACGTAGCCTCCTGGGGTTCTCCAGATGAAGTTGATGGGAGAAGTTGGGTGGAAAGGAGGTGGTACTATATAGAAAGTTTTGACTGTCCTAGGTAGATGGATGGAGGTCTGTTAATGAGGTTTTGGGAAGTAATAAAATTTAAGAAGAAATTGCCTGGTCTTGAAGTAGCCCAGAGGCATGGAGAACAATCCCTTTGAGGCGAAAATCCTGAGCTCTTTAGAGATGGAGAAACTGAATAGACTGACAATGCATGGATTTTCTGAAAGTTTAGGAGGATTTGTTTGCAAACCATTTTTCTATATGGTTTGTTTGTTTTGGGGTCACACTAGAGGTGCTCCAGGCTTATCACTGGTTCCTGCACTCAGGGGTCGCTCCTGGTGGTTCTTGGGCTGGGGATCTCACGGGGTGTCCCGGGAGATTGAACTGGAGTCCAACACTCGCAAGGCAGGCGTCCAGACCGGTTTATAATAATAAGTTTATTAAACTTTCGTTTTGAAAGCAGATAACGAACCCGCAAAGGTCTTGAACACAATGTTCAAATCACTTCGTGAACTAAAAGGAGTCAACTTCGCAAAGCAATTTGAGGACAGACTGTCCTATCTTGGAAGATACTGGTTTGCCCCCGACCGACCAGCTGAGGCATCCATGAAAAGTGTAACTTGTAGCCAAACTTAAAAAAAAAAAAAAAGCACTGTTCAAGTACTAGAAGAAGAGCGGCCGAAGAATTAGATGAGGGCGGATGAAAAGGGGACCCTGGAGTCCTGGGAAAGAGCAGCGTGGCCCGGCTCGCTCGGCCCCGCCCTCAGAGGCGTGGCCAGCGCGCCGGGGGCGGGGCCCGGGGGCGGGGCCGTGCGCCTGCGCACAGAGCCCCGGCGCCGCGCCCGAACCAACTGCCTAGGCCGCTCCGCGCCTCTCCGGTCGGCTTCTCCGCTCTCCGCCCCGCCTTCCCGCGGCGCTCCCGGAACCATGACCGATCCCCGCGTGAGGCAGATCAAGATCAAGACCGGCGTGGTGAAGCGGTAAGCCGCCGGCGTTGGCGCAGCCCCCCCCCGCGCGCGCGCGCCCGCCCCTCGCCTCCGTCGCCTCACGGGGAGGCCGGGCGGAGAGCGCAGGCCCGAGGCGGCCTCGCCACTCCCAGGCCCGGCTCCGGGGTCCCCGGGAGGCTCAGGGGCAGCGGGCGCCGGGGCCGCGGGTTGGGCGCGAGCGGCGCGGGCCGGCTCAGACCTGCCCTGGGCTGGCGGCGCGGGGCCCTGGGGAAGTTTCCGCGGGGGTGCGGCCCGGGGCCGCCCCCTCCCCCCACTGCCCCGCGAGTCCAGCGTGGCTCCTGGAACCCGGGGGGGGCTTTCAGGACCGGGCCGTGAACTTCTGCTCCCACGCTCGTCAAACTTCGGCGGCCCAGCCACCGCGCGGGGCGGCTGACGCTTCTTTTATTATTATTATTATTATTATTTTAAATTCATTGATTGTTTTGGATGCCGGCCGCGCCCCACCGGCTGCTCATCCACTCCTCCTGCAGTTTGAACTGGCACCTGGCATCAGACCCGGACTTCCGGCCGACGCTTGGGGTTGGCGTGGGGAGGTGGGGTGGGGTGGGGGTTGCCCCAGGTTTTCTTGGTCAACTCCAGAGAGTGCCGCCGGCTTCGTTTCGCATGTTGTGGCACGTGCAGCCCGAGGAAGGAGCGGGCTGTTGGGCAGTAAGCCTGGGCCTCGCCAGTTGGCACCTCCCTGGCTGCCCACTCTTGGCCTGCCTTTATTGGGTAGCCCCCAGCAGACAGAAGGGCAGGGCGAAGGAAGGGGGAGAATCAACGCAACTTTTTTTTTTTTTATGAGGGTGCACCCTGAGTCAGAGGACTCCCGGCCTGGCCCAGAGCTTTGCCCAAAAGAGTGATGGTGGAGGCAGCAGGGAAACAGCACAGCACGCGGAACAGTTCCCCAAGCGGGCCTGTTTGGCTCCAGATCTGCCGTTCATGGTCTGGGATCCGCTGCTGCTTCCGGTTATTTCTTGTCGGATGGAGTAACACCTTTCCCCCCGCCCCACTCACACAGATGTGCAGTTGTTGTAGGAAATGCCAGCTTCATGTACCTTGTGCACTGCGTGGCAAGTAGTGTGTGTGTGGCATTATACAGCTCCACTTTAAGCTTATACCGCAGACAGTAGGGTATAACCATAAAGTCGCACTGTCCTCCCGTTGTTCATCAGTCTGCTCGAGCGGGCCCAGTAACGTCTCCATCGTGAGATTGTTGTTACTGTGTTTGGCGTATAGAATATGTCATGGGTAGCTTGTCATGCCTTGGCGTGAATGGGAGAAACTCTCGGTAGCTTTGGGGGCTTTGCGAGAAGGGCAGAGGAATCGAACCCGGCTGGGCTGGGCTGGCTGTGTGCAAGGCAAACGCCCTACCGCTGTGTTATCGCTCAGCCGGCTGGAGTGTGTGGCTTGTAAATGTAAGTTAGTATTTCTTGTATCTCCATTTTACAGGTGAAAAGCCGAGGTTTAATGATTCAAGGTAGCAAAACCAAATTTACCTGAGGTCACTGCTAGCTAATGGCAGAGCACTGTAGCACTGTCCTCCCCTTGTTCATTGATTTGCTTGAGCAGGCACCAGCAACGTCTCCATTGTGAGACTTGTTTGCAGAGCAGAAGAAAAAAATCGGGGTGTCTCAGCTGACTTTTTATTTTAAGCCACCATGCTTTAAAATTTTTTTTAAATGTTTAAGACACTCTCTCTCTCTCTCTCTCTCTCTCACACACACACACACACACACAATGGAATACTACTCAGCTAAGTGGAAAGGTGAAATGTTGTGGTTTGCTGCAACTTGGATCGAATTGGAGAAAGTCATGCCGATTAAAGTGAGTCAGAAGGAAAAAGATAAGCACTAGACCAGTGATCTCACTCATTTGGGGAAACAAAACAAGGGATTAAAGAGTATTCCCAATGGAAACAACCCTGAGTTATCATCTGTGGAATTGTGATGGTGTGTGCTGGGGGTGTGGGGGGGTGGATACAGGCGCTTTGGTTAATTGTGGTGGAAGGATGTAGGCACCCTGGTGGGTATGGTGAGTAGCACTACACATACGAAATAATATTGGTGCTATTTAAAGACTAAGATGTGTTAGTAGGAGGGGAGTGGTGTGTTATACTGAAAATGTAAGTGATTGCTCATTCATCAGAGCACTGTTTTCAGTTTTATTAGACTTTCATTGTCATTTAGTGAGCTCTTTGGCATAAGCACCAAACAGGGCTTTCTTTAGATCAAGAGTCAAGAGAAATGACTTCCACTGGTAGGTATTTGAATTTTTGCGACATCCTTTTCATGGACAGGTCAAGTGCCTACCCTCTATACTATCTCTTACCCCCACCCCTCCCATTTTTGTTTTGTTTCATTTTGGTTTTGGGCAACACTTGTGATGCTCAGGACCTATACCTGACTCTGCGCTCATGAAACACTCCTGGTGGGCTTGCAGGACCCTTTTGGGGTTCTGGGATTGCACCCCAGTCAGCCACCCTACCTGTTGTACTCTCTTGCCCCTTCATATTTTTTTTTTGCAAATGACTTTTCTGTTGGTATTTTGGTATAGAACCTCCTTAACGCATACTTAAGAGGGGGGGTGTTTATTCTTTTTTTTTTTCTTAAATTTTTATTAGTCAGGGGCTGGAGTGATAGCACAGCAGGTAGGGCATTTGCCTTGCACGTGGCCGACCCGGGTTCAATTCCCAACATCCCATATGGTCCCCTGAGCACCACCAGGAGTAATTCCTGAGTGCAAAGCCAGGAGTAACCTCTGAGCATCGCCAGGAGTGACCCAAAAAGAAAAAAAAATAGTGAAACACCATGATGTACAGTTGTAGACTTACAAATTTTTGTGCTTGGGTTTCAGTTGTACAATGATCGAATACCCATCCCTCCACCAGTGCCCATTCTCCACCACCACTGATCCCAGTATCCCTCCCACCCCCATCCTACCTCTGTGGCAGAGCATTCCCTTTTGTTCTCTCTCTCTTACTGGGTGTTGTGGTTTGCAAAAAAGGCAATGGGTGACAATCATGTTTAGTCTATAGTCTACTTTCAGCATGCTTCTCCCATCCTGGGAGGATCCTCCCAACACCTTTATTTGGTGTTCCCTTCTCTATCTGAGCTCCCTTTTCCCCTAGCATGTGTGGTTGGCCTCCAAGCCATGGAGTAAAATTCCTGGTACTAATCTCGTCCATTCTTGGGTGTTATTCTCCTATTTTGTTACTTTATGTTCCCCAGATGAATGCAATCATTCTATGTCTATCCCTTCTTTTCTGAGTCATTTCGCTTAACATGATACTTTCCATGCAGTACCACTTGTATGTAAATTTCGTGACTTGGTCTTTTCTAACAACTACATAGTACTCCACTGTGTAAATGTACCGAAGTTTCTTTAACCAGTCATCTGTTCTCGGGCACTCAGATTTTTTCCAGATTCTGGCTATTGTAAAGAGTGCTGCAATGAACAGACAATTGCAGATGTCACTTTGACTATACTTTTTTGCCTCTCTGGGATATATTCCCAGGAGTGGTATTGCTGGATCAAATGGGAGCTCAATTTCTAATTTTTTGAGAATCGTCCATACTGTTTTCCAAAAGGGCTGAACCAGTCGGCATTCCCACCAGCAGTGAAGGAGTGTCCCTTTCTCGCCACATCCGCGCCAGCACCGGTTGCTTTTGTTCTTTTGGATGTTGGCCAGTCTCTGTGGTGTGAGATGATATCTCATTGTTGTTTTGATCTGCATCTCCCTGATGATTAATGATGTAGAGCATTTTCTCATGTGCCTTTTAGCCATTCGGATTTCTTCTTTGAGAAAATTTCTGTTCATTTCGTCGCCCCATTTTTTGATGGGGTTGGTTGTTTTCTTCTTGTGGAGTTCAACCAGTATTTTGTATATCCTTGATTATCAACCCCTTGTCGGATGTGTATTCAGAGAATATCCTTTCCCATTCTGTGGACTGTCTTTGTATTTTGGTCACTGTTTCTTTTGAGATGCAGAAGCTTCTTAGTTTAAGATAGTCCCATTTGTCTATCTCTATTTTCACTTGCTTGGCCAATGGCGTGACATCTTTGAAGATACCATTAACTTCAATGTCATGGAGGGTTTTGCCAACTTTGTCTTCAATGTACCTTATGGATTCCGGTCTGATGTTGAGGTCTTTAATCCATTTTGATCTTGGGGGTGTTTATTCTTAATTAAATTTTTTAAAATTTTATGTTTCAAAGAGTTGTTCGCAGTAATTGATTACATTCAGTATTTCAACACGAATCCCACTACTATTACACTTTCCCATCACCATTTTTTTTTTGAGTTTTATCACCACAACCCAAGCCAGTTGCAAAGGCAGATGCTAATTTATTTTGTATTGCTTGTTATGAATAACTGACTAAAAATGATCCAAAAAGGTTTCCTTAGAGGAAAGTGTATGAAACTTGTATCGCATCTTGAAGCCATTAAGCCCCTGAATTAGAGATCATTAACGTGTTAATCTTGTGTGCTTACATATATGTATATATGTACATATACATATGTGCGTATATATATTTTTAATCAAGATTGGTTGTCTTCTACCTTGCACCCATCAAATGTTGTGTGCTACTCTTCGTATATCAGTAGCATCATTGTATGAAATGTTGCGCGCGGCCTCTTTTGCAGCTGCATGCATGCTCCTGGAATTCTAAAATTTTTTCATAGGTTCCTAGAACTGGAGTTAATTTTTTTTTAAACTGTGTAATGATTTGGGGGTCCAAAGGCATCTCTGTAGCATGCTGCTCCCTTCCAAGATTCATTTGTGAGTCTGGATCATGGCCATTAATGTGCTTTAATGGTGACCAGAAGCATTTCATGGCCATAACTGCCAGGAAAGTGGAAGGACAGGGAGATGGGTGGAGGGACCCATTACTGACTCCAGAGGCCTGGAGATTTCATTTGCAAGTCTGGAAAATCTCATGCGTGGGGGGCTCGGGGTAAACCTGTGAGGGTCAGCTGTGAGCATGGAGAC